TTGCGCCACTGTTGAAGCCAATGTTGCCGACGACGTTCCGGGTCACCGTGAAACGAGACGTTGGTGTGCAACTTGCCTGTCTTTGTTCTGCGTACTTCATGAAGTGTGTACCCTTGGCCACGTGGGGAATCCTGGGCCGTGCGCGTGGGGTGAGGCGTGGCGACTGCGCACTGCCAGTAGATTGGTTGTTATTCCTTGTACGCGAGGAGGTCGAGGTGGTCGAGGTAGTAGGTCTCACCGGTGGTTTGCTCGATGACGATGAGGAGGTTGAAGAAGTGGAAGGTCTTGGGTTTAGTCGGCTGAGTGTGTTCAAGTTGGTTGCGGCGTGATGACGTGGTGGACGAAGCCGTGGAAGAGGAGGGCGAAGTCGAGGTAGAAGACGAAGAGCTCGTAGTGCGGCGTCGTTTCCGGGTAGGTCTGCACGGCGGTCGTTGCCGGAGAATGCACGATGTAGGCCGTGAGCCTGGATCGAATGATGTAGGTGTACGAGGACCGGTAGGAAGTGGTGTGGGTGGATCTGTGTGGGTGTGGACGTCGTCGAGGTCCGAATTCTCGGAAGTATGTAGGGGTGATACGAAATCTGCTGGAGTACCGGTAGAGCTCTGGTATGATTGCGGGGACCACGTTGCGTCGCCCAGGATCGCCGAATCCGAGGGAGAGGAAGCCATAATCCTAACTTGGCCTAAAAACCTGCGGGCAAACAAAACACGGGACGAAAACCAAAACAAGCAAGCGGCCTATTTTAACCGTCATGGGGAGAGCTCACCTGTCGCCATCGCAGACCAAATCGTCGGAGAACTGCACGAGATGCGTCCTCTAGAGAAATAAAGTTGAACGAGTTGTCGAACCTGTGGGACCAAGGTGGCTTTGGGCCAGGAAAGTTGGCAGATCAAGTAGATCCTGGTAGTGAGGCCTTGCGTGTTCCGCCGTGTGGAAGACACTGAGCAAGGAGACCGAAGCGAAATGCTGTTCTTCGGCAAGATGAGCCGAATCTGACGTTGTTCAGTGTCGATGACCGTGCCCAGCAGTTCCATGCCCGATACATGCTCCAATTCCAGCGGGAGGCAGTAGAAGTGACGGTGCAGGTACACGTCCTGGAACCAGCTGGTCGAAGAAGTGGGGGACTCATGAAGTGCATCAAGGAGGCGTCGTGCGCCAGATTGGCGAGTAGGCAGCGATGATGTGAGCTCGCCGTCCCAAATGCGAAGCAAACAGCGTTGTCCACGTAGCGGGAAGAGCAGAAGTAACGAGAAGTCAACACTTGGTCTTCAATGAGGCGGTGGAATGTGGCCTCCCACAACGCTGATGGAGGGGGCCATGGGTGAGCCCATGGAGACCCCACGATGTTGAACCAGGATTTCAGTGCCGACCATGAAAAAGGAGTGTCGCAGTAAGAACATGATGAGGCTTCGGGAGATCGCGCAAGCAGAGTGGTCTGTAGTGAGAACCGTCTTTACGATAGCGGCCGCAAAAAAGTCGTCCCAATGAACGGCGGTCCTTCATGGTGATCTGCACATCGGAGTCAAGGGTGATGCATTGGTGTCGGGCAGGGCTGTGATCGAGTAGTAGATGCGGTCACGCGGGACCAAGGTGACAGCCGGAAGTGTCGCAGGGGGTGACCAGTGGCGGTGTCGTCAAAGGAGGAGGAGGTGCATCGGTAGCTGGAGCTCGTGCAGGATCGGCTGGAGGCGGGGCAACATCCGTAGGTCGGATGTTGGGTCGGGATTGATGTACACGTAGAAGAACGTCACGCAATTGCAGCAGTTGTCCATCAGAGAGGGCATCGAAGAACACGTAGAAGAGCTGCAAATAGTCCGACCCGAACGCGGAGGAGGCCATGATGGAGTACCAACAAGAGGGTCAGAATGCAAACGGCTGCGGAAAGGGCACACAAGGCAACCAAGAAGCAAGGACCCAGACAAGGTCAAAGTAGCAATGCAAGCAGTGTTTCCGTCCAGGCGCTGGTCAAAGGAAGATCGCGATGCCCTCGGGCTGGGCAGATGTAGAGTGCACTTCCCAACGGTTGTCGCTCCCGTGTACAGTAGTAGCTGGCCGCGTTCTCCGGCACGGCGCCGCCTGGTCATTCCGGAAATGGTAGGATGCTGCGGTGTTCGGAAGGACGTGGGAAGGGACTGCACCACGAAGATCTTCAGCGCGGCATTGTGCTGCGGGGGAGACGTCCCGTCCAAGTAAGCCAACGGAACTCGGCCGAAAATGCACACCGGGCGGGCGGACGCCCAGCCTCCGAAGCGTGACGGCTGGCGCAAAGCGCTGCCCATCGAGTGGACCACAAGCCGCGCCCGTAGAAGGCGGCACTCGGCAGCCATGTAGGATCGACCGGCTCGTAGTCGGACGTGCGTACACACCCTCTCGAAGGATGTTGAGGGCGGCTGGCATCGACGTATTGTGCGCAAAAAAGGCAAACGACGGCGCACCTGGAACCCTATGTGCAGCTGCAGGGACGGGTAGTCACGGAGATCATCGGTCTGCCTGGTTGCCCGGGTTGATGTGGAGGAGCATCGACACGATCGAATCGGAACTGGAGGCTGTGGGGGTGGAAGCCCGCATGTACCAGAAGATGCATCAGGGTCAACAGCGGCTCGTCCGGTGTGAATGAAGGAGCCATGTCCAGGCCTGCAAGCACAAGCTCTCTGTGGCATTGTCTGCGGTGAGGTAGAGCTCGGAAGTAATCGCGGTGCCGTACCAACGCGTGGTAAACCAGGTCCCAACGGAGGCCTGTCATAAAAGCCATACGACTGGACAGATCTGACGCGATGTAAGGTTCCCGTTGTCCCGTGGACTCTAAGACTCTAAGCAATCAAGCAGAGTGGCGAGGATCCTGGAGGCCCCGAACGTGGACGTGGAAGCCGTGGCAGGAGGAGGCGCTGAAGTGTTGGATGCCAGTGTAGTAGACGATGTCACTGCAGTCGTAGAAGGCGGGCCAGTTGCAGTAGTCGACGGTGTGGGAAGACTCGGCCAGAAGGTTTGAACTGGCACTGGAGACAAGTCCGGCAGGGTGATGACACCGTCGGTGCCTGCAGTGTGGGCCGGTGCGGGCAGCAGAGGCGCCGCTACTTGCCCGGTGAGGGAAGAAGCTCGAGGCAATGCCGTTCTGCTCAATGGTGGCGGTGCAGTTGAAGAGGTCGAAGACGAAGATGAACGCCGCGGAGGAGAAGTTCTCGGTCGACGTGGTGGCGAGCGGGAGCGAGATGTCTGCCGGTGGAGCCAAGGAGGCCGGGGCGCAAGATGGACGGGGCATGACGGGGCCGCATGGCTCACACAGCCGACTCCTCCTACAAACTAACGAAACGACCAAAACAACTAGAAAGTTACACGCCAGCAGTGTTCTAAACCCACACGAAACTCCTTGGATGTGGCTGCATGAAGCTGCTTTGGCTGCAACCGCGAGTCGGTAGGCATGGAGCCGATTTTGTGGGTGCCAGAAGAAGCCGGTAGTGCCGTGAGGCTTCAGAGCTCTGTTCATTGAACTAAGCCCCCGCAGGCTAAGCGCTGGCACTTTGAATTGGCGCCTCCGAACTAGGAGGATCTGAGTGCAGCACCATGGCATACACCACCGTCCCGGAGGACTACACACGGAATGTTAAGTCAGGCTTTCTTTAGGTGAAGACCGGTACTGATGACCAGGTCTGAGGTGACCATACATCAGTGACTTTTGACATGTCAGCACATGGACAAAAATGTCGAAGGAGAGCGACAAGAAGTAACCCTGCCTGTACCTGCCAAACCTGCCTAAACCACAACGCGGCCTGACTACCTGCAAGGACACCGAAGGCACCCACAAAGAACTCAACATGTATGTCCATGAAACTCTCTCCAGATTGCGGGAACCATGCAGGCAGGCACTGAAAGGGACACAGGCACTGACTGATAACTGTATTGCGCAAGCACTGACTCGTTCAGGATGGGGTTCTCGGCTTACCCCCAGGCCATCCAGACAAAGCAATGCGGATATGGTGGAACCAATGCACAGCGAGGACTCTAGATGCCAGATACGTTCATTGAGCAGGTACACACCGGTGGCCAACCGGCGCTTCCCCCACCATACCATAGCTTCGTTGTGTCCGGTAGGCATGGTGGGCCTGACGCCCCTGCTGAAATCACTGCACTGCAGACGGAAAAGGAAGGAACACGAGGTCAAAGGCTGCAACATGAGAGTAACACGGAATATGAGCGTGCTCGGAAGGCCCTTGGATACAGGGTTGTCACACACACACAAAGGAAAAAGCCGCAAGACAATGCTCGGGGTTAAAAGACACGAACATTACATGATGAGTGATGTGGATTCCCCCCCACTAGGACCACTAATCGCCGGGAAACGTCTTCTCAAAGACACACAAAGAAGAAAGCCACACGAAAACGCTTCAGGGGGGTTTTAAGCAAAATTGATCTTGAGCGATGTGTAAGCTCTGCAAATGGGGGGCTGCGCCCCCCAACCCCCCACTTTTTAGACTGCAACCTCCCCGCTCTCTTAAGCCGCGAAGAAATGAATAAAAACGTCCTTCCCAACAACCCCTCCAGACGAGACCGCCCCCCCAAGACAACAAGCCCCCTCCCCCCCCTCATGGTCTTCCGAAATCCAGGACTACACGCCGCCCCTGGAACAGAGGGCAGGATCTGAGTCCAAAGCCTGAATCGACCTCACTCTGCTACGCAGTCAGCAGGGTACCCCCCCGACCTCCAGAGCCTGCTCGGCCATGGGCGAAGGCCATCTAAAAAGCGCTTTGGCCAAGCTGGTAACGGCGATTCACTGCTACACGCCGCATGTCATCTCAGCCCACAATGCCTGCTTTGATAGCACGCGAGACTGCAGGGAACTGTTCCTGTCTCTGTTGTCAAGCCCCTCATTGATCCTGCAGAGCTGCGGAACAGGTGGCAAGGCCGACAGGGTTTGAAACTCAAAGCCATGTTAAGCTGCTTACTATCTTTCTTCTTTCGATTCACCTCTCTAGCTGTTGCTCCTTTGTGGCTGAGGTCGCCGCTGCTCCCTTCGCCACAGGCAAGCGTCCCTGGCCTTGAGCAGCCGCTCGGCCACGACGTACCTGCGCAGCATATTGCAGGTACAACACTCCGAAAATCTTGTTTCGTCTGTGCACCAGGTGATTCGAGCAAGTTGGCGAGCTACAACCACGCTTCTCTGGGCAAATGAGCCCCCACACACGATGTCCAATGTGTGTACGTCTGCCTTGCTCAGAGAGGGCACCTTCTGAGCTTGTCGGACCGTGCTCGGGCTTCAAAAGGCACATCGTCAATCGGCACTTCCACCTCTCAAAAAGCCACGCTAATGTCGTTTAGGGCAGTCTGCCAGGTCCAGAGGGAACAGCAAACGCTTGAGGCAATCTTCAGGAAGTTGAGACTGTGCGTTAAAATCATCAACATCTGCCAAGCCTGCGGCAGGGAGCAAGCACGAGAGCATAGCACATCTGCTGCTGCATGCAGATCTGGAAACTCGGAGCGCAACGCAGCCTCAGACAACCCATCTCGGAATCTCGGACATGAGGCTGCCGTCGACTCTCGGCGATGTGCTGAAGCACTTCAAGCCTCTTCCGAGCAAAACCCCTCGGCCCGTCGGCCACATGCCATCCGCTGCCCCAGACCCGAATGGCACTTGCTGGAAGGCACTCCGCACCTGTCGCCTGTCTCTACGGTGCGTTCTGTTTGTGGCGAAGTGTAACGAGATGCACTCGAAAGGACGCAAGCAAAAGATCTAACATGCTGTGGAGCCACTGCTGTGCTGGCATCGTTGCTTCCATCGGCCTGCCCGAATCAACAAACTTGAGCTGCTGCTGACATGCAAATGCTCTGCAACTCCTCCGACTCTCCACATCGTCAAGGTACACCATGAGGCCAAGTCAATCTGTGCTTTTGTGCAACTTGCTTTTGATACGAACACAGAGAAGCTTGACTTCTTGACTTGTCGAGCAAAGCAGGGGGATCCCGCAGGTGCTGCTTGAGGGCATCACTTTCACGAACACGTCACCGCGGAGGTCTGCACTCCGCTGCCGGCTAAGATAGACAACCGACACGAGTGGCCCTTGGCGAAAAAGATCGTGCTTCAACCCAACACTATGAACTTCTGCACAGTCATACACAGAACCACAGAGCCTGGAGGCGCTGGCAGAAGTCCTCAATCTGTCCAGCGAGACGCAGGCGCACGTCACGCTCTCGGCTCAAGACTGCCTGCCGAAGGCAAAGAGAAACAGCGTCCCACAGGAAAAGCCTCTCTCGCTCACTCGCTCGCTGCTGGGGAAAGGCTCTCTCTCTCTCTCTCTCTCTCTCTTTTCTCTCTCTCTCTCTCTCTCTCTCTCTCTCTCTCTCTCTCTCTCCGGTTGGCCTGCTTGAGGCTCTCAACAGAGTTGAGATGATTCCGCAACACCTCGCAGACAGTGTCTCCAGCAAACGTCAAGCATGTACGGAAGAGAGATGACAGGCTGTTGACAGGCGTGTAATCCACTGGTAGTGGCCGTGGCTGAGGCGACTCGTCACTCGCCCGCCAATGTGTCAATTGGCACCGGCGGTTGGACGAAAGAGATGGCCAGCCGGAACAATCAGGGCCGGGTCTCGGACCTCGAAGTCTTCAAGCGCCTCGCGCTCAGCCTCGGCAAGTCCACACATGAGCCTGCCGCACCGCCGGGCGCCTGTGTATCTTGCCCACTACTCGCTTGAAACCCTTCGTCCCAACATAGCCGAACTTAAGCATGCGTACATTGAGTTCTCATGAGGAACATGTTCGGCGTGAGCGACGTTCGGCGTGAGCGACAGCAAGATAATACGTGCGGTGTGTGCAAAGCCAAATCAAAGCGAGGGTGCGTGAAAAGCAATGGTACAAGACGTTTGTCATACAGGAAGGAAGAGAGACATAGGGTGCAATCTTGCAAGTTTGCCTCGGCACAGCGCTGGCGCAGCTCGCCGGATCGTGCTTCGATGGCCTGCACGCAGGGACAGGGGTGAATTCCTGGAGCTGAGTTTCCAGCTTCCTCAACAGCTGCGAGGCCATGCTGCTCGTGTGCACCGGCGTTGCACGCGGCCTGGATGGCCGAGTCCAAGTCTCTGCGGCGGGCCCTGAGTTCTGGCAGCAGCTGGCGGGCACCCTGGCTCGAACGCGCTCGGAAGTTGCGGACTGCCCGAAAATGGCCACAGATGCCACAGTCGCTGTCAAGTAAATCTGGCCTGCAGTTTGGAGCGAAAGTCCTGCTCTGCAAAATCACAACCACGTTAATTATGTGGATTGCCAGGGATTGGACGAGTCGGCACGGCAATTCCAGAAAAGACCGTCCTGATGCTGAAGTTGCTCCCGCGTGAAGTCACGGCTGGCTAGCTCCTGGGATCTCGACAGATTGGACAACGTCTGCATCATGCGGGCAGTTTTCTCAAGTCATTTGCATTGAGCGTTGTTGCCCTGCCTGTACCTCCCGCCTCCCAATAAACCGAATTCTTGCCAAGTCACTGCTTGTACCTTGACATGGGGGACATGTGATGAACATCTTGGAGCTGGCTAGAATCACCGAACTTCCAGATTGGACAGACAGCTTAAGGGCAAATACTTCGTGCCACACTCAGGACCTGTCCGGAAGAGACAGACAGCGAAGAAAACAACCGCCTGAAGGCAAAGAAGCTCAAGACGCCGGCCGATGCCCCCGCGAAGAACGTGAAGTGCCAGTGGGAGCAAGCACAATGACGCGGACTAGGCCAAACCAAAGGATAGGAAAGAAACAAAGAACTGGAGCTTGCTGCCCATGGATCATGAGCAGGAAGCAACTCGACACTGAACTTCACACGGTTTCCAGGCCCTTTTTCCCTGATAAACTGAATCGGAGCAGGATTTCCTAATCAACAGTAGCTCCATCCGATGCACCTCCACTGACTTGGAGGTCGTAGATGGCTTAAGAACCTTCTGCGGTGCTTCAGGTTCACGAGGCGAATCACTCTTCGAACCTGTGCGATGGATCACAATGAAAGAATGCCAGCAACACTGCATTACAGAGAACTCACGCCTGGTGGCAGTGCTCCGGCACCGGGGGCACCGGGGGCACCGGACCTCCGAAGCGCCGCGGTGCGAGGCACACGTGCTGCCACTCGGCATGAGACGGAGCTGGAGCTGACTCCAAGAATGCACCGCCAGGGCCAGGGAGCCTTCGTGCTGGCACTTGCAGCCTGCAGAGACTTCTCTCTTCTCTCTTCTCTACTCTCACTCTCTGCACACCTGGCAACTTTATCAAAGAAAGAAACAAGGGCAAGCGAAAGAAAGACCACCCTTTTCGGTAAGCTTCTGAGATTTTAGGTTGTTCGGCGGAAGGGCTTCGAGCATGCATCGAATAGACCTGTACCCACGGCCATGAGTCTGGACCGGGCATCGTGGCCGATCGTGGCCCATGCATGGCATGATGCTATTGCATGAAGTCGGCGGATGCAGCCAGCTTACTGTGCAGGAGGTGCAGGAGGCAAAGGTGTACTCCACATGTCCCTCATCTCACGCATCAGGTCGTAGAATGGCCGTGCCTCACAGACGCTGACACTTCCCGGTCGTCCAGCCGAAGCAAAAGCTTGCCTCGCTTGGGCGGACTGCAGGAGAAGCAGACCGACGAGGAGAAGCCTCGCGGACCTCAAAGCGGGACGGCCCGGAGCCCAAACCCAAACCCACAAGCAGATGAGACGCGCTGAGTGCCGTACTGGAGGCACCGACTGGATGGTGCCCTGCACAACCCAGCGCCTTCAGCAGCAAAGTGCACGTGATCCGCCGCACCGACTGCGAACAGAAATCTCGCCAATGATGTCCAGATATGCCACGCATAGTGCCATGGGTTTTCAAGCTCCCTGACGCTTTCTGAACTGGACAATCACAGCATGTCGAGATGACCCCCTCACAATCAGAAGGAGCCTGTCATCGGCCGTTTCTATGGGCAAGGGCGGCATGGGAGCCATCGCCCCAGAGCTCCTCTGGCCTGGCACGTGAGGGCGATCGACGTGGGGCACCTCCTCGCGGTGGTCGCTGGTAACAGGGGGCTCAAACGCAGAAAAATCGACGGGCCGTGGATTGCACTTAGCACTTGTCCATGTACATGTTGTGAACCCTGCAGACGGGGAAGTCGATCTGAGAGCACAACCCCCCTGGCTAACCCATGCCTCATGGTGTTCGCCATTGATGTAGGCTTGTGCATTGGTCACTCGATGGGGAGGCGACGGGACCCACAACCTCACGGTAGTCTCCATCTAGTCGTCAAGGACAGGCATCGCGTGCATTGGTGACATGTAGCCGGCTCTGGGTGATGGGGCCTGGATGCGTGAGCTGAACGGTTCCGCTGAAAACCGATCAGACTGTCGTGTCGGCCTGTTTTGGGTGGGCAGTCGGACGAACAATATGTCGCAAGGTCACATGATGTCGGTCTTGCGGCTTTGCGGTTGCGTATCACACCCCTGAGACTCCTTCCTCATTTCTCGTTTATGTAGTCGTTAGGCGCGAACATGCTTGACGATTGGTCCTCTGGGGATGAGTCGAGCCGCGGTCATCAGACGCAAAAGTCTGCGCAGACTAGCAATACTTCGTCGATTACGGCGCGGGCGCTCGCATAAATGACATCGGAGACAAATTCGTCGGTGGCGAATTGGGGCTCGTCGTTGGGGCAGCACGGGGGTACCATACGATCCATGGACGAAGACGGTGTGTATCTTACGATTAGCGGAGCGGCGTAGGTGGGATGCCATACTTTTGGCTGACGTTCGCTTTGACACGGATGGGGTGCACACAGTGGATCTGCCTAACGGGGGAAAATGGAAAATCATAGTGGCGGGACAAGCGGCTGGCGGCAAACTTGGCGTCCATGTGGGAACAGCAGGGCTGCCACGTACGCATCCCGGGCGACAACCACACGGCTGGATTGGCTTTAAATCGCCGTATACGGCCCCGTATCCAGCGCTCGACAGCGGGATCGCGATGATTCTATGGATCAAATTCGGAGAGCGAAACGGGGCGTAGGATCACGAAACATCCTGGTTGTTGGCGGGGATTTCAATGCGGACTTTGACACTCAGAGGGAAACAGTCACGAGAGAGACCACGAGTGGTAGGGCCGGTAGGGCGTTGGGGTGGGGAGCGTAGTAACCGCAGTGGTATGGACCTTCTTGATTTCTGCGATCAGGAGGCTCTCAGTGTAACGGATATGCGTTGTTTTTTCAACCGATGCGCAAACGACACCCATGGTGGCACCGGTGGAATCGAACGCGAAACAGCACAATGCATGAACATGTCCCTATGCCCAATATGCCATCCGTTGATCTACCAGGTCAAGGGGCCAAGCAAAAAAAGGATGAATGGCACCGAAGATGGGACCAACAGTTGATTGCAGTGGGCGGTAACCAGCGTCAACTTGCGTGGCAGGAGAGATCTACGGCATGTGCCGAAACCAGCTTTCAAGTTTTCGGCCCAGTACCTAGGAAACCAGATCAACCAACCACACCTGATAGGCCATGAAAGAGAAAATACACGGTCGGACAGGGATGCAGCCAATTCGTTCACACATCGTCGCAGCTTTAGGGTGGACGCTTTACCACATACACCACTCAAGCAGCAGGCATATGATGCGGCAGTTAGTCAGGCCCGAGCAGCAGCACAAATTCGCAAACGAACCCGACGTCGGTGGAAATGAGAATGGGTGGACAGGGTTAGTGAGGCGGTGTCGCAGGAACATGTTGATGGGAATCGGAATATGCGTAAAGTCTTTGCGTTAAACGAAGAATTAGGTATTCGGGATGAACGACTGAAGCAAAGAGCGGTATCAAGCAGTCGAAACGTAATGGATCCGGAAGCCGAAAGAGAAGCATGGAAGGAACACTTTAGGAAAATTCAGGAACGTAGGGAGTTGGCCAGTGAGAGGGTTTAGCAAAATGTAACATCAAATACAGAGGTGGCGCACTGGCTGGCCATCGAGCCCACAGAGGAGGAAATTTTAGAGTGCGGCAGAGAGACGGAAAAGCAGCTTTGGTCGATGGGTTCTTGGCCGAGTTGTATAAGTACGGCAGGCAGTTGTTAATTCAGCAAATTAACGGGGTCGTTCGTGAAATATGGCGACATGCCGTGCAAGTGCCGGCGTGGCCAGAGGCTTGGAATGAGGGGAACAAGGGTGGGCACTCGAGGCGGGGCGGGGTGGCCGCCGCGAGTCGAAGTGAGGGTTGCGGTCAGCAAGGCCCAAGAGCTTCACCGAACTGTAGAAAATGTTACAGAGTCGTGTTTGTTTCGGAGCCTTAGTCACGCATAGTAACAGTCATAGATGGGCGAGACTGTTTCGAAGTGTTAGAGGCAGACGCCGTTCCCCGCAAAAACTTTGCTCAGGAAGTGTCTACTGAAGGTAGAGGCTCTGTTGCGTTCCAATCCCTTAGTAATCACACTGAAGTTTCACAGCATGGTCTCGAGCAATAGATCCTTTTTCAGAGTTAGAGAGGAATGGAGGGTGGGCTGCTTGGATTTATTATTGCCGAGGTCTTGTGCCTGAAGCAGTAGTCTGTCTGTCTGTCTGTCCGTCTGTCTGTCTGCCTGGCGCGTCAGCCAAAGATCAAAGGTGCCTTCCACGCACTTTGCCGGGCCTCGTTCCTCGCGTTCCTCGCCTGACGCGTTGGCCACAGAAGCCTGGTTTGCCGCTGGTGCTTCGCCCATCGGCGCACCGCAGCTTGCCAGGTCCTTCAGTGGTCCCACACCTGCAACGCTGCAGCACTCGCTTCATGCTGGTTGAGAGTGACAGGGCCTTTCTGTTTTCCGCCTGGAAGCTCCGGTCTGGAGTTTGCTCGCGATGGAGGAAGCAAAGGACGTTGTTCCCATGGCTGGGGAGCCCTCGGACGAGCCCCAGTGTGCTTGCTGGGCAGAGTGCACATGTAGCACACGCCTGCTGCGCGAAGCAGAGGAATCTCGTGTCTCGTTTGACCTTTGCGTCAAGCATCTTATGCGGCAGATAACAGCTCGTAGAAAAGCGTAAAGCGGAACCCCATCCGTCGCCTGCCCGCTCTCTCCTACCAGGAACAGTTCCGGGTCTGTCGTCATAGGATAGCCGGCTCTGCTGACTCAGGCAAACCTGCAAGGCCCTCCAAGACCTGTCCTCTCCACGCGATGGCCCAACTTGCCCACCTGCAGCAAGCACATACACACACGTCATGAACCACATTGCGTTGTTTTCGTTGTGATGTGGAACTGCGCGGGCCTCGCTGCGGCTGCTCATGAAGGTCGGCTACCGCGGCATGGGAGACTTGTCCTGTCAAGGGCATTGTGACGATCGGAGTCTCGAAGAAGCGACATGAAACAAAGCTTCTCACAGCAGCAATGCCGTTGGCACGTAAACCTTGATCTTGAGGACTGTTCCTCCGCCCTCCTTTAACTATGGTGTGGTTAATAACTCTTGGAAGTGTCTTCAGACATACCCCCTGGCCTTTCCGAGGAGTTTCCGGGGTCAGGTCTCGCACCCCTAACCCCTGCGCGGACCGGGTCTCTCTCTCTCTCTCTCTCTTATTCTTCTTCCGCCGGGCATGAGGGGTTGGTTAGACCCCCCGGCCACTAGGGCCCCCCCATATTTTGTGGGGACTTTGGAGGAGTGTGAAAGTGGCTTTGTTTTCGTTCCCCCGGTGGATCATATGAGTACTGAGAACCATTCTGAGTTACACATAGTAGGCCGGACCACATGTCCTCCGGGTTTGCGAAAAACAGGTTTCATTGCAGTCCTAGTTGGGCTGATCTCTCTCTCTCTCTCTCCTGGGCATGAGGGCGGGTCAGCGCCCTCGGGCCGAAGGCCCCCCCATCGTGTTGATGGGTGCGAGGGGTGAAATTCGAATGTGGAACACTGTCTCGGCTAAAGCCCTGTAATATACGTTAACGACGACAGTGTTTCAACATTCTCCTCAGACACATGCATCGTCATTCGTGCTTTTATCCCCCAGATATAGAAGGAAAGTATTTGCGGTCAGAAATTGCGGGGATAAACAGCACAACGTGCAGTCCCCCTGCTCCTGGGGACATTCGCAAAACCTTCACGGTTTTTGCCAGGCAGTGCTTCACATGAGCTTCAGGGAAAGAAGGTCATCAAGGCATAAAGATGTTTGTTCCCCCGTGCCCATTTGACTATGCTCGTGTCCGCTTTCCCCCCCATGATACCGCAAGTGACTTTTGCAGACAGCGGGATACAGAAGTGCAGCTACAAACGACAGCAAGAACAAGTAGCAATCACTAATGTTGCGGTATCATCGTGCAGGGGTGTGAACGTAAAAGTTCGTTGGAGATTTAGGTCCATCATGGTTGAATGAAACAATGACACAGCTTCTGCATGGCCAGCCTAAAGGCAACCCATAAGTGCAAGCAAAGATTCCCCCGATGGACCATCCCCCGACACAAAGTCAGCTCCAAATAACCCTACCCCTGGGGCGCGACCGTATGTCAGTTGGACCCTCTGCCTCTCGTCGAAACTAAATTAAACAAAAAAACTCCCCCTTAAAAGACCCTAGATCCATAACACCTCTGGAGGGTCCGGCATACCTGGCCCGAAATGGCAATAAGGATGAAACAACAGCTTATTCGGTTAAAAAGCATAACCAGTATAGCAGCAGCATTTGGCGGGGGTTTTTGGGAGCCTAGTTTGAAGCAGTCAGAACCAGTTCCCCCCGTGATGCCAGCCTGACTTAAATGAAAGCAAGAAGACCTAAGATTGCGAAATCATACAATCACTCCCCCTCTTTGGCATCAGGCTTCATGGGGTCCTTTGAAACAAGGGAAAAGTGGAGATCGGGGTCCATTGGGGTTTGTAGTACAACAAAACACAACAAGTACAATTTGAAAGCAATAACAACACGAGCTCACAACTATGTAGAAACTGTTTTTTCCCCCGGACCTGCTGATCTCAGTTTCGTACGTAGGACTCTCTTGCACATCTAAATTAGGCACCTTCTCGGAGGGGCAGCAATGTAAGAAACAAGGGCACAGCGATTCCTAACCGGCCTTGAGGGCTGATCTCTCTCTCTCTCTCTCTCTCGCTATCGCTCTCTCGCCCTGTCAGTCGGAATGACCATGATAAGAAATGAAGAAATGGCAATGACAAGCATCGAGAGAATGGCAACAGTGTGGTTAACCATGTCGAACGCACCTTGCTTCGCAGAAACAACATTTATGGTACGTACCATAAGATATACTAGCATTTATGATAAGCACAAGAAGGAGGCTTGTCGAGTTGGTGCCATTCACTGCCATTCGTAGTGACTGAGGAAAGCCAAGAGCCAAAAGACAGAAGCCAACAGCCAGTGGGCGGGCTGGTGTCGGTGAGTATGTGTGTGTGTGTGTGTGTTTAGTCCATTATCTGTTGATTGTACAGAGGTGTGCTTGACGCATTCTGACATTTCCGCCTTGCAGCTTTTGCACACTTTCTCGGTCTTGGGGGCAGAGACGTCCCGCTATCGAGATCACTGCTGCTCGGTTTTTGGATGCCAGGAAAGTCTTCATGTAAACCCTCTGAGGACCCGACCTTCCCTCACAGGCGGCTCTGGGTTCGACGATCGGCTCTCCGACTGCCTCGCTCCACCTTCCAAATCGCTTCAGTTCGCACGATCCGTTTATGACGGCATGCCCCAAATTCCTAAACCCTAAAACCGCACCAGCGGATAGGGCGCGCCTCCAGTTGGCTCGAACGCCGGCTGTGGCACGCGGTCCGAGGGATTCCGCTCGGTGTCTTGCAGCCCTGCGCGGTGATAGAATGGCTGTTTTGGGTGCTAGGGTGACAGGCTTCAGGTGTTGTCCCCGGACGGTCTGTGCATGATGGTTGCACCCTTGAACACTTGAGGACAGAGACGTCCCACGATTGCGATCACTGTTGCTCGGTTTTTGGATGCCAGGAAAGTCTTCATGTAAACCCTCTGAGGACCCGACCTTCCCTCACAGGCGGCTCTGGGTTCGACGATCGGCTCTCCGACTGCCTCGCTCCACCTTCCAAATCGCTTCAGTTCGCACGATCCGTTTAGTACGGCATGCCCCAAATTCCTAAACCCTAAAACCGCACCAGCGGATAGGGCGCGCCTCCAGTTGGCTCGAACGCCGGCTGTGGCACGCGGTCCGAGGGATTCCGCTCAGTGTCTTGCAGCCCTGCGCGGTGACAGAATGGCTGTTTTGGGTGCTAGGGTGACAGGCTTCAGGTGTTGTCCCTGGACGGTCTGTGCATGATGGATGCACCCTTGAACACTTGAGGACAGAGACGTCCCACGATTGAGATCACTGTTGCTCGGTTTTTGGATGCCAGGAAAGTCTTCATGTAAACCCTCTGAGGACCCGACCTTCCCTCACAGGCGGCTCTGGGTTCGACGATCGGCTCTCCGACTGCCTCGCTCCACCTTCCAAATCGCTTCAGTTCGCACGATCCGTTTATTACGGCATGCCCCAAATTCCTAAACCCTAAAATTTAAAACCGCACCAGCGGATAGGGCGCGCCTCCAGTTGGCTCAAACGCCGGCTGTGGCACGCGGTCCGAGGGATTCCGCTCGGTGTCTTGCAGCCCTGCGCGGTGATAGAATGGCTGTTTTGGGTGCTAGGGTGACAGGCTTCAGGTGTTGTCCCCGGACGGTCTGTGCATGATGGTTGCACCCTTGAACACTTGAGGACAGAGACGTCCCACGATTGCGATCACTGTTGCTCGGTTTTTGGATGCCAGGAAAGTCTTCATGTAAACCCTCTGAGGACCCGACCTTCCCTCACAGGCGGCTCTGGGTTCGACGATCGGCTCTCCGACTGCCTCGCTCCACCTTCCAAATCGCTTCAGTTCGCACGATCCGTTTAGTACGGCATGCCCCAAATTCCTAAACCCTAAAACCGCACCAGCGGATAGGGCGCGCCTCCAGTTGGCTCGAACGCCGGCTGTGGCACGCGGTCCGAGGGATTCCGCTCGGTGTCTTGCAGCCCTGCGCGGTGACAGAATGGCTGTTTTGGGTGCTAGGGTGACAGGCTTCAGGTGTTGTCCCTGGACGGTCTGTGCATGATGGATGCACCCTTGAACACTTGAGGACAGAGACGTCCCACGATTGAGATCACTGTTGCTCGGTTTTTGGATGCCAGGAAAGTCTTCATGTAAACCCTCTGAGGACCCGACCTTCCCTCACAGGCGGCTCTGGGTTCGACGATCGGCTCTCCGACTGCCTCGCTCCACCTTTCAGATCGTTCAGTTTCAGTCCCCTCGATTCATCACGTTTTGCCTACGGTATGCCCCAAACCCGTAAACCCTAAAACCGAAAACCCTTAAAAACCCTCAACAAGTGCTCGCACCCTGCTGTTGCTGAAAAACTACCCTTTGCGCCTGCATAGGCAAAAGTCTCAAGTGACAACACTCAGCGGTTTGCCTGTGGCGTGGGCGGGAGTGGAGGGATGCTTGAGCATGCAGCATGTGCTCGTGCTCGTACCTAATTGGCAGACACTGGCACTCAGTGCTGCTGCTGAGAAACTACCTTTTGCGCCTGCGTAAACAAGAGTCCCACATGACACCACCCAGCAATTTGCCTCTGCCCCACTTGTTCCACCCATCGGCAGCACATGCGTCAGCCACCAGCAAAACGAGTGTGCCATAACTCGGCTGGCGTTTTAGATGCCTCCAACTTCTCGGCCACGAGCAAGATTGCACGGAAGTCTTCAACGAGCTCGAAAACATGTTTCCTGACAAGCGGCCGCACGCAGGCACGAACTGTAAAGAGGTGGTCACCTGAGCGATCCCTTCAAAGCAAACGAGGCACAGGAAACACTTTGCACGCTGGCCGTTTCAGGTGCCAGCCCCACAGTCGCGAAGGGCCGACCCCGACCATGGAGGAGATTGCTGAAGGCCGCGGTGTGCTGAACGCAGCTGACTGGCAAAGCAGGGCCTAACATATTAGTGAAGCTTTTGTTGTCAGGGGCCCGGATTTGATGATAACAATCCTTTTCATCTGCGACAGCACAGTACACGGATTGTGTCCTGGGATCGACCTCGAGCACGCCTTTCATAGGACCGACCGGAGTGAGCAAGCTTTGGCCCGAAAGGCGAATTTCAGCCCAATTCTGGCCGCGGCGGTCAGTTATCATGCGACGCCCTTGTAATCTTTATAGCAATTGAAGGCCCGGGCCAAATGGAAACTGTCAGCGAAGGTCAGCGACCTACACGAGTCCACACGGGCACAAAGGAGTCCGGAGGTGGGACAACGTGAGCGAGAGGGCGGGGATCGGCAAGAGCCATGTAGAGCTCATCGAGGAGATAGTCAAACGGGTCCCAAAGTCCACGCACTGAGAGCCGGAGGCGTTGAGCGGTTTCAAAGGATCAAGGCCAGGGCCAAGGTGTGCATTGTTGTGCATAGGGACAACAGTGCCTGAACGATCAGCATAAGTATCCCCCGTGGTGGCCGATGCCGAAGAAAGAAAACTCGTTAGCTCTCAAGCAATTGGGGATTGCGCCTGCGGCCTGAGTAGGGCAAAAACACCAACCAACTGAGGCACCGAACACCATCAAATGGCGACTCACATGGGTAATAAGTCTTCGCTGCGCAACATCCAAGGGCCGTTGCAGCACGGAGAAAAGGATTGGCACAAAATTAGACCGCAGGAAATTCAAAGCCGTGTAGACAATATGCAGCAGACGCTTGTGAGCAACACACCTGCGGAAACGTGAGCCGAACTCCAGAACGAAGCGAGCAAAGATGCCCGCACAAGGAAGGGGCACTGGGAAGATGACCCCCGAAGGCGGCGCAGGCACGGCAAGCCTGGGCAGCCCGGGCAGGCGCAAAGTAGAGTGAAGGGCGCAAAGTAGTGTGAAGAAAAAGTGGCCCGGGCTAGAAGAACTGCACGGAGCCAGCCACATGACCAGGAAGCAAAGGAGACCTGGCTGTGAAACCCGAACTCACTAGCATGGCGCCGGAGTCCTGGAGGAGGGCACCTGTACCTGTGGCAACCTGGGCGGCACATAGGACTCGCGGCCGTTGCCTTCCCATTTTGCAAGTCCAACGAAATTAAATGTCGTGGGACTTGGATCGGGGAAGCAGCACCTGTACCTGCAGCAACCGGAAAAGCACCGGAAGACCGACTTGGCCTAGCCTCAACGGAACCCAGCTGGTGAGCGACTGCAGACACAGGACTTTACCAGGAGCATTACTTTGCCCTCTCCGACTTGTTTCTTTGAAAGAATGAGGTGGCTTCTTTGGCTTGCGGCCGTCCTGCCTTGCGTCGCGTGTGCATGGGTGGCGGGATGCTTCGCATGGCCAAGCGATTCGAGGCACCTGGTGATGATCAGGTCGACCTCCTTTTCACGAACTAAACCGAACGGCAACAGGGGAGAGAACGCCTGACCTCGGGTTTGCAACGACACCTCTCCCTGGCAAAGCTGCGACGGGGGCTCTTCCAGTAAAGTCAGTAACCACGCGAAGCCCCACCTCCTTTCCAAAACACGTTGGTCCAGCGCCACAAAAGTCAGCGCCATGAACTCTCGAGCAAGCCCAGAACACCCTGCTCAAGCCCACAAGGAACACACATGCCTCCATGTCCAAAGGCTGCTGCTCTACCCCCTGCTCGTCGGACGTACCCAGCGGCATGGTCAGCTGGGTCGATGGGCCAACCAAGCTGTCGGCTTTTGCAGCAACTCCTTCGTCCACGACCCAGAAAAAAACAAAAACAGAGAAGGCAAAGAAGAACGGCAGCCCGCTTCGGCCCATGACAGAGCCACGAACCGGAATAATCCCTCCCACAGCACCTCAAAAGACGCTACCTCCATCATTGCACTGCCGCAATACAGATCGGCGTTGGAGAGTGAAACGAAGGAATGACACCGTGCCCTGCTTCCCTCCAAAATCCCAACCGCCTCCTGAAAGAGGAGGTGGGCAACCTTGCAACACGACGGGGAGTCGGCACAAAGTCAACCAAGACCTGGCGAGCCCACTGCGCTGCAATCCAGGCCCTTGTTGCACGAAGTTCGGGAGAGAAGCTGAGCCGACAAGGCCACAGCAAAGGCGGAGACAATGAGGAAGCAAAGAAGGGAAGTTGTGTTCCAAGGTGTTGTACCGAGCGGTGAGGGAGGTCAATCGAGGAGAGCAAGTGGGCTCCGGCGCCACACGGGAACGCGGCTCAACAGAGAGGTCACGACCTACCTCCTCCCAACCTTCACAAAAACCATTAGGGCTAGGGGAACGGGTCGGGCAGATGAAGGGAATCGGCAAGTCGAAGGGACGGCTGGCGAAATGCCCGTGAAAAGGAAGTCCCTGAACAGCCCCAAGGTCAACAACTCAAAAACCCACCTGTCATCACCCCACAATACCACAATCGAAGCACAAAGAAAGCAGCAACACAGAACCGTGACAACGGCCAGGCTAGGACACCCAAGCCCTCACCAGTTAGAGCTAACTCCCGCTGACAACAGGCCAAGAGCGAGCTCGATCCACATGTTTGAGCATACAGCATGTGCTCGTGTTTGTACCTAGCTGTCAACCTAAACAAACAAATACATACATAAGTAAAAAGAATTCCTAAAGCCCAAAACCGAGTCGATAGGGTTCGCCTCCAGTTGGCTCGAATGCCGGTTCCGGAACGCGGTCCGAGGGATTCCGCTCGGTATCCTGCAGACCTGTGCGGTTGTAGAATGGCTATTTTCGGTGCGAGTGTTGTAGCATTTAAGCTTTGTCCCTAAACGGTTGGGGCATGATCGATGCACCTTACACACTTTCGCGGTCTTGCTGGCATAGACGTCCCACGATTGAGATCACTCTTGCTCGGTTTTTGGATGCCTATGAAGTCTTCAGTCTTCATGTAAACCCTCTGAGGACCTTACCTTCCTGCGCAGGCTGCTCTGGGTTCGACGATCGGCTCTCCGACTGCTTCGCTCCACCTGCCAGATTGCTTCGGTTCCCACGATCACGATCTGCCTATCACGGTATGACCCAAACCCTTAAACCCTAAAACGGAAAACCCAAAACCCGAAGAATCCGAACGAACCAAAACCCCAAGAAGCCTATAAACCAAATCGGCACGGTTCGCCTTCAGGTGGATCGAGCGCGGGCTCTGGAATGCGGTCCGAGGGATTCCGCTCGGTGTCCTGCAGACCTGCGTGGTTGTAGAATGACTGTTTTGGACGCTAGGGTTAGCATTCAACGGACGATGGAGATCGCTTAAAAAGCCTTGAGTTCTCACGATCCGTCTATCAGTCAGTATGCCCCGAACCCGTAAACCCTAAAACTGAAAACCCCAAACCCGGAAATCCAAAAAAAAAAAAAAAAACTAAATCCTATACACCTAGTGGACAGGGTACGCCTCAAGTTGGCTCTAACGGCTTTGGAACATGGTCCGAGGAATTCCGCTCGGTGCCCTGCACACCTGCGCAGTTGTAGAATGGCTGTTTTCGGTGCCATTGTTATCGCATTTAAGTTCTGTCCCTGGACGGTCCGTGCATGATGGATGCACCCTTGAACACTTGAGAACATGGACGTCCCACGATTGAGATCACTGTTGCTCGGTTTTGGGATGCCAGGAAAGTCTTCAGGTAAACCCTCTGAAGACCCTACCTTCCCGCACAGGCGGCTCTGGGTTCGACGATCGGCTCTCCGACTGCCTCGCTCCACCTTCCAAATCGCTTCAGTTCGCACGATCCGTGTATGACGGCATGCCCCAAACCCTAAACCCGGAAACGGAAAAATCCAAACCCACAATCCAATCGAACTACAGTAAAACCTGAAAGCCTTTGATACTATAAATCAAGTCGATGCGGTTTGCCTTCGGTTGGCTCGATCACCGGCTTTGGGATGAGGTCCGAGGGATTCCGCTCACTGTCGTGCAGACCTGCACGGTTGTAATGGCTGTTTTCGGTGCGAAGGTTTCAGGGTTTGCGTGTTGTCCGTAGACGGTTTATGCATGGTCGATGCACCCTGCCATGCTTCTCGGACTGACATTGTCACTCGGTTTTTGGATGCCTATGAAGTCTTCAGTCTTCATGTAAACCCTCTGAGGACCTTACCTTCCCGCGCAGGCTGCTCTGGGTTCGTCGATCGGCTCTCCGACTGCTTCGCTCCACCTGTCAGATTGCTTCGGTTCCCACGATCTACCTATCACGGTATGACCCAAACCCTTAAACCCTAAAACGGAAAACCCTGAACCCGAAGGAATCCGATCGAACCAAAACCCCCGAAAGCCTATATACCAAATCGATACGGTTCGCCTTCAGTTGGCTCGAACGCCGGTTCTGAAACGCGGTCCGAGGGATTCCGCTCGGTGTCCTGCAGACCTGCGTCAGGGTTATGGGATTCAAGTGTTGTCCCTGGGCGATTGAGATCACTGTTTGTGGCTCGATTTTTGGAAACCAAAGAAGTCTGTATGTAAACCCTCTGATCTGGCTTCGACGGTTGGATCTCCGACTGCTTCGCCCCACCTGCCTAGAGCTCTCACGATCTGTCTATCAGTATGCCCTAAACCTTAAAACTCAAAATCCCAAACCCCGAAATCTACAAGTAACCTAAAACCAAACAAAAACCTCAAAACCACAACTCAGAAATTTTATGCACCTAGTGGACAGGGTGCGCCTCCAGTTGGTTTTAACGCGGGCTTTGGAATATGGTCGGTGGGTGCTGAGGTTACAGGCTGCAAGTGTTGTCCCCAGACGGTTGGGCGTGCATGATCGATGCACCTTTGCACACTTTCTCGGTCTTGATGGCATCCACGATTGAGATCACTCTTGCTCGGTTTTTGGATGCCTATGAAGTCTTCCGTCTTCATGTAAACCCTCTGAGAACCTTACCTTCCCGCGCAGGCTGCTCTGGGTTCGACGATCGGCTCTCCGACTGCTTCGCTCCACCTGCCAGATTGCTTCGGTTCCCACGATCTACCTATCAGGAGATGTCCCAAGCACCGAAACCCTGAAACGGGAAACCCAAAATAAGCCGAAACACCCTAAACAAACCAAAAACGCTCAAAACCAAACAAAACCCTTTCAAAATATCTAAAACCGAAAACCGAGTCGATGGGGTTCGCCTCCAGTTGGCTCGAACACCGGCTTCTCCACGTGGTCCGAGGGATTCTCCTGCAGACCTGCGCGGTTGTGAAATGCCGGCTTTGGGTGCTGGGGGCTTTTGCGTTTCAGTGTTGTCCCTGAGCTCTGACCCTAGCAGGGTCCCTGAATAGCTGGAAGAAAGTCTCGGTGTAGCACATGGAGTCGTGTTAATCCCATCTGTTAACCTCCCTGGACTCTAGCAGTATAAGCCCGAGGTCCGGTCACTGCTTCGGCAGTTGGCTATTCGCTTGCACGGCCGTCGTCCAAGTTGACGAACCAAAAGCTGTCCCCAAAAGCGTTGTTGCTTTCTCTGTTCAAAGGTGTCGGGCTTGTTGATTTTGAGCATTCTGTTTTCCGACTGCAGACTCCTAGCCATCCCACCTTCCGGTAGAGCCCTTTGTTCGCTCCACGAGCCACTCTGCGGCTCCGGCGCCGCACCTGCCAGATCGCAGCGGTTCATATGTTTTGCATATATATATATATGTACATACATATATGTATATACTGGTACAGATATGTGTATGTATGTATATGTATATATATATATGTACATATATATGTAACAAGGATACATTTAAACTATAGTGCCCATCTGTGCGTAACAATCTTTGGTAATATCAACAAGCACAATAAGACCGCTACAATAAATCATGACATCAATACAAACGTCAATACCAAAAGTAGTAGATAACAATAATGCTGACAAAAATTGCAAAAAAATAAAACTAATGCATTTAACAATGACAGTACCAATACTCATTGTCACCACTACTGTTGATACTGTCATGGTGGTGTCGCTTACTATTGTTCATTATTATTCGCATCTGTTTGGTATGAGCATGTTCATAAATTAAAGAATTTTCGGAACAAAAAGACAACATGATAGTAGTAATACTAATAATAACAACAATAACATCAACAACCACCAACAACAACCAACCACCACCAACACCATCAACAACAACAACAACAACCACAACAACAGCAACAAACAACCAACCAACAACCAACACCAACCACCATACCAACACCAACCAGCAACCACAATAACAACAGCAACCAAAAAAGAATGATAAGACTAATAACCATCATCATGATAGTTATGAAATAACAACAAGAATAAAAACAGTGACGAGGATGATGATAACGATAGTCATGATCACGATATCATCTAGTGTATGTATGATATATAGAAAAGCGTCTTACATTTACGATCTGAATACTACAGCAGCCACTCTCCGAGAAAGCAGCATCGAGGAGGTTTGCCTGCAGTCGGCTCGTCAGCTGACTCTGGCACGTTCTGCACAGAGCTGTCTTGCATAATACCTGCGAGGAATCTGCCGCGCTAAGTTTGGGCCGAAGATAAAAGGGACATCGACGGTAGGCCATTCCGGGAAAGGTGAATATGACTTGGGCCAAAAGCACGACAGGTGTGTGAGGCCTGGGCGTTGTCGGTCCGGTCGGTAGAACCGTTCCTCGTCAAAGTCATCGTCCGATCCCAGCGACGGAAATGAACCTCCAAGCACATTCCGATCGACCGTTGCAACGTGAACTCCGAAACGGTCACAGATGTCAATTCACTTCGGATCATGTTCTGACTTCATGTGCGAATTCAACTTGTCGGTCACATAACACAGAGCACGTGTAGTCTGTCCTTAAGTCTGGTAGTCAGGCACTAAATTCACCAGATGTGGAGTGTTTCACTGAATTTGTGCCACGAGCAAGATGCATCGCGATTACTCTGCTGCTGCTATTTCCAAGGGCTGGTTACATTATATCTCAACTCCCTAAGTGATGCGATGTTATAACGCATCTCGCTTGCTGAACCCTGGTAGACGTTTCAAGAGAACAGTTGACTTTGAGGCCCAAGCTTATGCCTGCGCATTCAAACGGGCATGCAATCCAAAACACAGCCAGTGATCCCTTCAACCCCAAGGTCTTGTTGACGTGAGCATGTTTTCGGGTGCACCAATGTGCCCTCAGCCAATACAAAACAGCCCAAGCACGAGCCGAAGACTCTGCACGATGCCTTCCAATCCAGCAATCGCGTTCGAAGGTGGCTCACTGCCTGGTCCCGCTTGATCATGTCTCACAAAACTACCAAATACACCTGTTGACGCCCAAACAGTAACCGGCCTGCAACATTTGCCACGTCACCCGTCGGCATTGCCCAGTGTCATGGTAGACTGAACAACTACGACCGTAGTTACAATCCTGCGCTAAATCATGCTAAATCCTCACATGTAACGGAACAATACCTTGAACGCATAAGGCCTGAAATGCCGTACCATTGCTCGGCAATATTGTATTCATTGGAGTATGGAGAATGAGACTGGCATGATGACATGCGTGTCTCGAACGATTGTATTTTGGGTCGTCTTGAAGGTCGACAGTTTCAAGCTTGATCCGGCTTGGATACATTTTGGCCTTTTACCTGCCAAACTCATGCCACGTGCATTCGCTCGGAGGATGGCTCGCTCCAGAAGAAAGGACGAAGAGTGGCTCCAGAGGGCTCACAGCCTCAATGGTGAGGGACGAACGGACTTGGAGCTTTCACGACTGAAGCCTGCAGGCTAAGTCTGACGGGGTCAAGTCTGCTTAAAATACCGTGCCTTCGCAACAAGAACAATACAGATGCATCTTAGAATAATCACGAGCGATGGGTAGCAGGTGATCGTGACTCCAGCCTGGTGTTTGAGCAGCCTCGTCTAATTTTGTGAAGCGGTGTGGAGTGTGGCACAAACCAAAGAAAACTTTTGTTACTCGGCCCTGGTTTGCGTGACGACAGCTCAAACCGTGGCAGCAACCAACACGCAAAACGATCGAATATCTCACGATTGACTCCGCATCGGTCTACACTGACTTGTGAGTCGAATCGCACCTGTGCTTCAGATGACTCGAACATTTGCTAGCGCTCAAAAACGAACATGAACAAATGCATCAAAACACGTAAATAGCCATGTGGTTCATGCGGCACTGTGGCACATCGAACAGATGCGCAACTAGAATTGGCTGCTTGTGACAACATCCGTCACTTTGTTCTGGAACAGAACGATTTTGGACGCCGTTGGGCGCTTGATATACTTTGGCTCCAGGAAACCACATCTACTTAGTATACTTTTTCGGACGAAAGAAAATTAAGGAAGGAAAGTTTCTCGCATGGGCACGCCCACAAAACACGTGGCGGGAGCGGGTTTTTGCATCCCGCCCACCATCTTCTGCTAATTTCAGAACCTTTCCGCGCTCCGGCCGCATGGCGGTACTTACCCCAAGAACTCAGCCGCACCCCACCCATCTTATCACGGAGAATGCCTCCGGACATGGAATGGGAAGACAATCAAAAGTCTGCGTTTATGTCTCCCACGTATGCGCAGTTCCTTAAGATCGTGACGAAATTGTTCTTGCACACCTCATGGATCTGAAAGTTGGGTGATCCGACTCCAAAACAGTTACTGTTCTTGACCACTCGCCCAGCTCGTTTGCCAAACAGGCTGTGCGTCGGTGCATACAACGACTAAATTGACTGCTCCATAGTGAAACAATTCTTTCGAGCAAAGTCCCACAGTTGGCGGCCATGAAAGTTCCCACGTAAAATAAATGCCGGCAGAATTTAGCAGCATGTGTCGAAAGCAAAACCCAAGTCCCATGAGAGGCCAATGGGTTCAAATCTCCGAAAGCCGGCCACCTTTCCGCTTTCGCTCTCTGAAGTGCGAAAACTCAGACACTCTCTGAAGTGCCACCTCAGAAAACTTTTCCATACAAGCCAGAAAGACCCTCTGTGGCGCAACCATCCGCCCCTTCACCGCTGCTGCTGGCTGCATGCCGGACATGAAAACAACTTCAATGAGCAAGCTTTTGTTGCGTTCGTTCTTCAAGACACACGTGTCGATCTTGGAGCTCTTAGCATCTCTCGGCTTGCTTTTTTGCTGCCAAGAATTCTGTGAAATTTTGAATCAATCAAAAACATGAGCCCCTGTGTTTTGTTCAACCTTGGTCGTGTACACTGAAGTCCTGCCGGGGCAGGCCGAGAGCGGGAAGGCCTGCAGGCTTTGGAAGTGGCAAGACCAGTACCTGAGAGATGGTCTTTTGATGAACGGTTTCACAGACACCCCGCCTGAACAAACCCTCAACATGAAATCGTTTTTTGATGCTTTAAAACGAAGAATGACGATAGACGATGGGCTGCAAAGGAAACTGCCTCCAGGTTCAAAACCAGGTTCCAACCCAGTTCGACACTCCATCCAACGCAGAGATTTGAAACCAATTGTTACGTTTCAGATGACTGCATGTTTTTGATTTGCTGGCAACAATTCTTCTGGGTCCAAAACTCCCAAAACAAGAACTTCCTTCAAGGGAACTTCAACGTGAATCAATTCGATAAAAACAAATCCGAATCAGACGCTGGAGCGCATCTCTTCCACTTCGCCCAACGGTATTTCTCAGAAATGTCGGCTCTTTCCGTCAGCATAGGTTTTTGCAAGGTGTTCCAAGCCTGGGTTCGAACAGCTGGGGGGGTCCGGGAGGGGGGGGGCTGGGAACATAACATTGGAACTCGAGTTGAACCCTGGGTTCAAACATTTGGAACGGAGGTTGAACTCAGAGTTCAAACACCGGTGTTTGAACCCAGGGTTCAAACACCGGTGTCGTAGACGAATACTACTAATACGACACTTACTAATACGACACTTACTACTACTATTACTACTATTTCAATTGAACGCTGCGCGAGCGTGCTCTGCGCTTTGCGGGCGCCTTTGGTCTCGTGCACTCGTGAAACTGCTTCTAGCATGCATCGCTCATACCTCTCTAATCAGCTCAAGCTACTGAAAACTACAGCTACAAAAGCTTCCTCCTCCGACGCCTTGGTGTGAACAGACGCGTCCATCTGTGCACCTGTCACAACAATTAGGCCGTACTTCAGACGAAGCCGACACCTGGAGTATCCGTCTCGTGGCGTCCCACACGGATTACTCATGTTGAAGACAGAAGGCCGTAAGGGTCATGTGCTCATGACCGCGTGTACCTGCATGCATCGCCGATGGAATGGCTGTTGGCAACTTGGACGTGGGCAACTCTCTGATGCAGTGATGTGCTGTTTGTAAGCGACTAGCTCGCGGTTCACAGGCTTCCGAAGAGATTTGCTAAGCGTCGGAAGAGGTCCGAATTCCCAGAGTCTGTGACATAGGGGATCAAAAAGTCTGTGACATATCTCTACCCTCACTGGTCGTGACCTTTTGGCCACTGCTGGGAGTAGCTGTGCCAGGACCACTGCTGCCACCAGTCCCAGTCGTCCTCTTGGGAGGAGCGTGCCTGCCTGGCCCACTGGGTCGAGGATGAAGAGGAGGGGGCATCGCGCTGACGCTTGCCCTCTGTGTCAGCCTCTTGCATCTGTGGGCGCTTGTTAGGCGCAGCAGCAGCAGCCAGTTTGGCCATGCGCTTGTCTTCCTCGTGCCCCTTGTCATGCTGAATCCGCATCTTCATGATGGAGTAGGCATCTTTGTTGGGTTTGACCCTGAAGACACGAGCTGGGAGTCCGGCTGATTTGGCCGTCTCATTGTAGACTGCCACGATGGTAGTGGCGATCATGTTGAACTCTACCCACGAGGGGAAGTGCTGCTGAAAGTCCTTCTCGTCCCACATCTTGTTGAAGCAGGCATGGATAAGGCCATGCACCTTTGTGGGGGCATCCAACTCGCGATAGGCTCCTCCCGAGCCTGTGGCTATAGTGACCTTCCCATCGCTGGTGAGGACCCGCCTCACCGACATGGCGATGTCCCATGTGAGGCCTGTTTGTGTCCTTACTGACTTGATGGCAGAAAACAGCGGGGGTACCTCGCGGAGTGCGTCCATCCTGGTAGACCAGAGGGTCTGCTGCTCGTGGTTGGTGAGGCCTCCGAGAATGACGGGAGCCACCAGGATATTGATGGAAGCCAAGGCCCGAATCCAGTCCTGGTGGGACTGGGAGCTCAGCAGTTGAGCCAGCTCCTGCCTCGTGTATCGTACTGTCTGTTGTGGAGCCGGCTGTGGAACATAACCAACGGGTGCCGCATTGGTTTCCGGGGCTCATATGCTGACGGGGGACGGGAGGAAGGAGGAGGGGGCGTGTGGGAGCGCGTAGCGGCCAGGGTGGCAGGGGCAGGGGAAGAGGCGGACTTGGGAGGGTGCGGAGGGATCGGGGAAACAGGGATAGCCGGTGGGGGAGCAGGTGCTGCCGAAGAGGAATTCTCCGGAGGCTGGGGGCATGGGGCCTTGAAAGCCGCCTTTTCGGCCGCTGTGGAAGTGAAAGGGCAGGGGGGGGACCGGCTGCTTTGTCTGATCCTTTAGTCCTGGTGCTGCTGGGTGGGAGAGGAATCTCCTGTGGATGCTTCGGGGGAGGGGGAGGAAGTGGT